CCCCGAGCATTACACTTGAGTCAGCGATACATATTTTGGGAACTCTGGTCACCCGGTGTCGGTTCCGCCTAGGCGACGTGCGTCACGACTGACTCGAAACTTCCGTCCTTTTGGTCTCACCGGCACAGACGGCAACCACTTCCGCCTAGGCGATGTGTGGTTCCTTTTGCCAGGTTACCACGACGAACTCACAACTGGTCGCTCGCAGAGTCGAATCGAACCTACCCTGAGTGTACACCAGAAGTGCTCACCCTCTGAAGATTTCACTGTTAGGCTCCGCATTGACATGTAGCGGGGCCTACTTTCTCTCTGGAGACTGTGTGGCTTCGGTAGTGCTCAAGCTTTGTAACTTGCTTTCGAGGACCTTCCCCCGCTTTACCTCAGGTTCACACCCGATTTTATCATGGCCCCTCGACGTGCTTCCGGACTTCAGCACGACAAGATCGAGCAGTACTCCGACACACAACCGATGGAAGAGGATGACCCCATCGAACAAGACACAGCTCCCTCGCAGTCGTCCGATGCTGTCTTACCGGCAGCACGAGCTCTCGCCGAGATGACTCGCGGTGTGGAACCAGAGTCAGTCGAGGGTAGACTCATGAAGCAACGACGAAGACTCTACGACGAGCAGACCGCACAGGTGGCCGTCGAGGTTTTGGCCTTTCGCCGAGCCCAAGAACAGATGGGACTGGCACGATTGCGAACACAGTTTTCCAACGCCGATAGCAATCAGCTCCTTGAGATCTGGCGACGCCATCTGGCTGGGAAGGCGGTCGACTCCGAAGGCAACCCGCTCCAGAGCCACGAGGCCGAGATCATCGAGAAGGACACCGAAGAGGGCAATAAACGCCTCCTTGACTACCTCGGTTTCCTCTCCGCCAAACACGATGATCCCAAGCACGAGAAGTCCCTCGATTGCACCTTTTGTGGCAAGCTCTTCCCCGCTTACTACCTCCTGTGCATCAACCCGGCAGAACTCGATGACTGGCGAAATGTACACTACAGGTGTTGCTATGCTTGCGCTACCTGCCATTCGGAGGACTTCGTTTGGTACAGCGAGTGCTCTGCCTTGAAGCCGGCTAAGCCCGGCGCCCGGGGTTCCATCTCCGACGAGCGGTACAACAACTTCGATCGTACCAATGTAGCCGACTTCGATGACGATTACGACAACACTCCGGGCCAATGGCACATAGCCATCGACAAGACGGCGGGGGCTTACGCGACCTTCTACTTCGACTCGGTGTGGGATGACGAGAGATCCCGGTGGACACGCCGACCAGTCTTCCGACGAAAAGGCCGCATCGTCACGAATATCCCCGTCAAGGAGTGGTACGCGTTGTGTTCCAAGGTCATCACATTTAGGCGCCGACAGCTCACCGATCAAGTGCGTGACCACAATTCTTCTTGGAAAGCCATGTGCGATGCTATTCGCCGAGAACGACCAGGCGCATCCAGCGCGGGAGTACGCCGAGAGGTGCGGGCTCGGATTTTGGCTTTGACAGCCCGCTTTGTCGCCGACATGGACAAACTCGATGCAGACCGGCGAGCTCAAGTCATGGTGGCGTTCGAGCAGTGGCAGATCTCCTCGATTGCACGCTCGATCGATCCCAATTGGGACGGCGATGCCTTCTGGGATATGGCCATCAACGACGCGCCGCTCACCGATTGGCTCTTCAAGGTCACCGACTCACTCGACCAGCATTTCATCTAGCTGCAGGAACGTCGAGTGCACCTCCGTCATCCACAACCATCACTGGCTTCGCCAGATTTCCACCGATTATCCGATCCGTGAACAGCACGGTCGCTACACATGTCCACGATGCTTGACCCCCTACCGACCTCACGCCGAAAGAACGAACGCCAGCGCTTTGCAGTCGAAGAAGCTCGTGCCGGCACAGAAGGCGTTGATCATGGCCGAAAACGGCGAGGTTAACATCGAGATACCGGTACGAGGCCAGACAATCTCGAAAGAGCATTGCGACTACCATCTCTTCTTGATGGAGTGGGAGAAAACCGACGACGATATGCTCCTCGGACGCCTCAAGCAGATCATGGCGGAGTATCGCGCGGACTTGGGCACCGAGGACTTCCGCGCCCCGCTACAGGCGGCCATCCGCGACCAGGCTGTGAAACACCAGCTCCTGGGAGACTTCGAGGAGACGGCGTGGACCCTCGAGA